AAATCCCGCCAGGCCAACCCAATACATTCCATCCCTCGCCTCTGTGAAACACATATTTACGAATTATTAAAATTTACATTCATCATACAGTATTAACATCAAAACAGAGAAACCAAAGACTCCCAACACTAAACAAGACTAAACAATCTGCACACAATCCACCCCTCGTCCCTCCACCCCTCGTCCCTTCACCACAATCACAAGAATATAAATTCCCCAAAATCGTTTTACTCTTCAACATTACTCAGTCCATCTTTTGCCCGTTACCTCTCTCAACTACTGTCCTTATCTCAAATTCCTCCCTTTCCAGGTTTCTTTCACCGTATAGGCCAACTAAATATCACCCGCTGATGAGAAGTAGAAAATAATCTTTGTTTTGAATTGCTTGCGCGTGCGGCATTTGTTACTCGTACATTGAATTGCTTTTTATCTTAACCCATGGGCCTCTTGTTACATCCTACCTCTCCCCTGTCCATCTAAAAATGGGGAGTGACAGAGCAGCTTTGGTGAGCTCCTGGCTTCCAGCGAGGGCCAAATCATCACAAGGGGTACTGGGGTTTCACCAATACACCTAAGAGAAGTTTGGAGTTTCACTAATACACCTAGAAGTTTCTTCAGGCAGGGCTATTACCCTTCTCGCACACACACACTTCACTGCCAGAGCTCCAGATAACTTTACAACTAATAAACACAGCATGAACTTTTTCCTGTGTCATTTAACAATTAAACTTACTTTTGCGTCTCCCTAAAATATTCAAAAGTTTGTTTAGCTATTGCCATTTCTAATGGAAACACACTCTTAAAAACAAACAAAAAAATAGCTACAGAGGACAAAACTGTTCTTTCATAAACACTGAATTGCTGACATCCAAATAGCACTAAAACTTCAGTTTTGACAAAGATTTCATACAAAAGGCTGACGAGGCATCGGAACACTGATCGAAACAAACAGGAGGTAACCATACAGCCAGGAGCTACCAAGTATCAATGCTTCATTTGGCTCAGTCTTACATGGATTTGTTTTTAAAAACAAAACAACCAAGCCACCAAACCACCATTTGAAAACAGTTCTTACTTGGAGATCTCTGCAGAGATGCGCAAGTTGAGTCTGTAATACACTCTGACCTGGGACAAAACTTTGGAATGAAAATGAGATTTTTCTAAAGCAAGTAACTCTGAAACCTTAAGAGGTTCTGCTGGAGAGGAAAACTGTTGTGCAGTTCCACTATCCACTAACAATTTACAAAGACACAGAAACAGACATATGCCAAATAAATAGCTGAGAATACCTGCTTCAGGTTCAGAGAAAGTAAGGTGTTGGGTTTTTTCCATATTCCTTCCAGATGAAAGCAAAGGTCTACATATTTTAATCCATTAATTAATGGATTAAATTAATATTTTACTTATAACCAATATGGTGATACTAGAAACTTAAATCCTTTTTTTAGCATGGACTGACTAATAAAAACAGTCTGTGTAACATTCTTCATAAAAAAGTCTTGTTTTTATTTATAAAATCATAAAATCTTACATTCTTCCCAAGGTAGAATGGAATATAGAAAATTCTGCAACAACAAATAAGGTAAAAAAAAATTAGAATATGGTGGGAAGGGGAGAGGTTCCGTAAGTCTGTGTTGGCAGCGATGTGAATTCTATTTTATGCATATTGTCCATTTCACTCTGTATCATAAGTTCATTTGATAACTTTAGATGATTTGATTTTCTTTATGTCATGGCTTTGCAGAATCAAGGTTCCATCTCTGAATTTTCCAACCTGCCCTGCAGGCCAAATGCTAGGCACCGACTTCTTCCTTTTGGCCTTCCTGAAACAGGAAGAGGTAAAGAAAAGAATTAGGAGAAACAACAGAAACTCATGAAAATGCTTAATACGCTGAAAAATGTCATCTACTTAAGCAATGTGTTTGGTATTATGCAACATAAAATCATAGCAGGTAATGATCCCAGAACATTTATTACCTGCAGGCCATTCAAGATTTGCAGCACATTACAGACTGATTTACATTTTAAAAAGTTTTGAAACACACTGACTTTTCGATAGAGAAAGAAGATAAGAGCACATTTCAGCAAACCTGCCACACTATGATTAAGAATGCCACTTCATCTTTCAAGCCTCTGCATACTGTTGCTTGTGTTTTGCAGAAATTCCTTCTCAGGGCAAATGCTCCGAGTAAGTGGCATATCTCGGGTCCACACACAGGGATTTCCATCCATCTCATCTCCAGCTGCAGCCTTAGACACGTCAGGGCAGAACTGACACCTTTTCAGTTAAGCTCCGCAACTAAAGCCTCTGAAACTGCCAGACACAGAGGAACATCACCGTTTTGTGACTGAGTCCTGCAGCTGGAGAAGTTCCTTGCACCGTGATCTGCATAACTTCTGGTGTAAGACTGCTCATGGCTACACAGGGAAAATACACTGCGGAGCCTATACAAAAGCCAGTTAATTTTAACCACATTAAAAATGGCTCACCTCTCCTTCTGTTCCTTCTTCTTCTTAAGAGAATCAGCCTTAAGTTCCTGTTTTGTAAAGATACAGATTTTAATGGGAAAAAGACTATCTTGGCTTAACAACCACCCGCATTTGCCTCGTGGGGCAGTAAGCATTTAAAGCAGTTGGGAGACCAGACAGGCCAAGTGATGCAACCTGCTATGACAGGAGGCACTGCTGGGAGTGCCCAGAGCCCTTCCTGTCACCTTACAGAAAGTACAGCTCTCTCACGACCAACATGCTGCCCCTGCCACGTGAGGAGGCACAAATCCAGCTGCATGAGGAGAGAGGTTTGCTTCCTGGGCATGTGACAGATCCTTGGGTCAAAAGATCGACTTGCTACCAGGCAGGTGTGCCTGATCACCCGACTGAGTGTGTATGTCAAATAACAGGGTTCAAAACCATGTCTAGTCATGCACTGGATGCACTTGGAGCCACGTGACAGAGGAGAAGTATGTCCCCTGGGAAAGAGGGCGGCAGGGAACAGGATGATAGAACAATTACCTGACCTGTATTCTGCTCCCACCTACATGAGAAGGCTCCAAGGGGAGGCAGGGAGTAGGCCTGGAGCCAGATGGGCTGTGCTAGGGGATGGATGCAACAGAAACCTCACCCTTGCTTTAAACAATGACTAAGATCCTAGATGAAATCATGCTGATATAAAACTAGCTGAAGATCTGGCTCTCTGTGGTAAGATAACATGCAACAAACTTTAATTGAAGGCCATTTTTTTCTCCCTTCAGAGGTAAGGAATACAAACAAAACTTGCAACCTGCTGCCATCAGCCTCAAAAGATCAGGCAGTGAAATCCACTGTAACACAAGCCTAACTTTGAGCCCTTCACACTGCCCGCAACCAGCTTTTACCGATGACATTAGTCCTGCTGGAGCCAGGAACTCACTCCGTGGGGAGCAGCAGGTGTCAAGCTCGGGCACTCCTCCTGCACCTAAGGCACTATCTGTCAGGCTCTTGGGCTAGCTCTTACATGCTGCCTTTTTACACAGAAAATTTCACACAAACCTCTGCCTTATCATCATCCTTCGCTGCTTTTTTCTCTTTCATTTTCTCTTGGTAAGTCTTGTAGTTTACGTGTTGTTTTTTGGGAGGCTGCAAAAAAGATTGGAAGGAATGCCACTGACGAAATTTTCAGAAAGGTTCAAAAATATATTCACATGCTTGCATGGCAAATATTTTTCAGACGGTGGTAGGAAAACATTAGAAATGGTGTATTTCCTTTTGGGTGAGATGAAGGGCCTTAAGGTCTGTAAGGTAGACACAGAGAAACCACACCTGCCTTGGTGGAGAGGGATGTTCATGCTCTTTTATCAGCCCTACAAGGTATCCACATACAGAAAGAAAACCCATATCCTCCCCATCCCCACAAAAAGACCTACAAATTATTTTTCTCCTTTTACACTACTGATGGTAGTGTAGACTGAAGTTTTCTCCATCTTTAACTCACTGGGAGACAGAAACCTTAAAAAGCAAGCCCCTCTCTCCAACAATTTAGTTTTGAAGGACCTAGTAGAAAATTAGTAAATGTTTTCCAGCCCAATCAGTCGTACTTCATCTATACATCATCTCTGATAACACAACCATACCGATTTTTCCAAAGGTCTACAGAAAAAAGAACAGAAAATTTAAAAGGATGAAGTGGGAGAAGGGTCAGAGCACGGGATCTTGTGTTTTAAAAAAGTAGTGACAACACCTCCCGCCTCCAGTGTTTTTTACCACTTCCCTGCACTGTAACAGCTGGGTGACCGCCCAGCACAAACCGAGCAGCAATCACCTTGGCTCCCAGCATGATAGCACGCTCCTGTTCCCATATGCGTTGCTCCTGCTTCTTGTAGCCAGTGATTCCAAACTTGTGCACTTCCAGACGAGCCTAGAACGTTACAGAAAAATCACAAGCATTTCACAATTTGTCCAACGTGGTAGAAAATAATGCTTGACAGACCACAACACAGTCATACTCCCAAGGAAACCTTCGCTCATACCGCGCATCAGCGTGTTATAAAATAAAACTAATTGAGTTTGGAGCTGCACTGCACAACAGTTAACCACTGTCCATCTAACCTCTGGATGGTGAGGACTGTGAGGGGGACAATTTTTGATTCTCCTCATTTCACATAAAGCAACATATGGAATGGATCTCCTCCTCCATATAAAAATTAACTGTGTGGTGCTGCACAGCGAAGAACGGCGACATGTGCTACCTACAGCACCCAACGTTCAAAGTGTCCTCACTCCCTGGGTGCAGAGCACTTCACCAGTGAGAAACACAGATGGGCAGATGGTGGAGCGTGGCCACACATATGTATAGTTGACACTATACACGAATATCCTGGCAAAACCAGTGGCAAACTCATAATATTTTTGAAGTCGGTGGTTAAATCTCAGCAGCAGGGTGCTCCACACAGAATCTCCAGTGAGAGATTTCACTGCATCACAGCATATCCCTGATCAAAGAGCAGGCATATAAACCAACTTGCTCAAGTCTATGAACAAATTAGTATATAAAAAAGCCAATGCTAGTTGTGATCACTTAAGAACAGACTAGAATAAAAAGACAAACGGAAAAGATCATCTGCTGTTTCAAAAATAGATGCCAATACACTTTTTTTCTCCTCACACATGAGATCAGAAACCCCAGATTAACACCACAGGCCTGAAAGAGCTATGTTAAACATTATGGGCACCCACATAGTTTTGCACAGGTAACATACAGTGATCTTCCTTAAATTATCATTGAAATATCATAAAAAAAGGCCACAAGAGTTCTAACATGCCTTTCTTCACACAGAACAGTTGACAACAGCCAGCATGCTCCTCCTTTGGCATGGCATGCACCCAGAATTACCTGTTAGGAAATCCTCACCTGCAAGAAATAACTTTTTCTGAAAGTGTTTCCCATCAGTGCTACTGTAGCTTTCCCAAGGACATAAATACACATACCTGCATACTAAAATAGGTTAGATTAGGTCCTGCTGACTTACTTTTTCGAAGTTAAATTCTTGTTCATTTGCATTTTTGTCTCGGTCTACTATTTTGTTCTACGAACAAAACAAAAAAAAAATCAAGATAATATAACAACTAACACCAGTTTAAATGCTGAATGTGCCTTTTTTTTGAAAGCCATGAAATGTAAAATGAGTTGTAGGGAAGAGTATACAGCTTTCCAGCAGTATCTTTTTCTAGCTTTACTTGAAGACACAGTGTCAATGGTATTTTTAATATGTAGATATTACAGGGTCTTATTGGAACATAGGCATTTTCCTGCCTAGATCATCTGCTAACACTTAGAAAGGGTTTCATAATTCCGAAATATAGTTATAGTTGCAATTAATTGCTATGCTTTCAAGAATCAATTACATTTTAAAAGTTAAAAACTGCCACATATATGCTATTCATCACACATATTTCCATTTCCAAATCCGTACCGAGCTGCTAATGCAGGACAGGACATGAACTTGAAGTCGTTTCGTTTGTGACAGAGAACACAGCGGTAACAGCGCCATGTACCAATAGCCTGTGGCAACATCACACAGAACAAACTGAATCCGTGACTGCATGGACGAATATTAGCGCATTTATCCAGCTTAACTAATAAAAAAGAAACAGCTCCAAAGGATGTATTGTAAGTAAACTGCAGATCCCACTTAACATTGTTTAAAGAAACTACTTGCTCAAAATGAGTTCGGTGAAGACTACATCCTCTGCGATTTACACAGAGACCATTCATCAGCAGTTCTCACTTCGAGGGGAACTCTCCAGGGGGAACAGACCATATCCCAGGAAGAGAAAGAAGCACAAAATCCCCAGGGAGAGCTCCATACCTGCTTGCTACAGGAGCATCCCACATGGGACACTTCGGAGCAGTACAGAGCTCTCAGGGTTATTTCAGATCATATGCAACCCCTGATTTCATAAGGATGTGCTGATCAATCTCTTTGAGAGGATGCTTTGCCTTCTCCCAAGCTGATGCAGGCAGGCAGCATGGCCAGGGAAACCACAGTCTGTTCAAGGCTCCTCTTTTCCTGTTTGCTCTCAAAGGCACTCTGCCCTCCAAGGAAGCAGGCGTACTGCAGATGCATTGAAACTGAACCTGAATGCTTTCAATGCATTCCCTTTTCACTCTCCAGGACCTTAAGTCACAATGAGTGACAGGTTCAGGTCCCAGAGTGACATCGGAGCTTCCCTCTGCATCCACGAGAACCAAGCCCAAACTTCTCTCACCACTGCAAAAGCTTCAAGAGAAAGTTGGTCATTTCAACCACAAATTTTCAGAGCATTTTACTAACAAGCCTAATACCAGTCTTTCCAGGTACAAAAAAAAAAAAAAAAGTTGTAAAAATCATAGGAAAATAAAAAACTAGGGCAATTTTTTGAGAAAAACATAGCATAAAAAGCACAAAAGTTTATGGACTCAACCAACTGCTTGGTCAGTCTATCGAACTTCCCAATTCCAAGCAGCCAAGCCCCAGATACCAGTAAGTCTCGCTGAATCCAAGACAGCCACGTGTTGGCACGTCAGAGTTTATTTTAGAATTGTGCTTCTGACACTATGACCACAAACACAACTCAAAGAAAACAACCAGAGAAGCTGTAAAATCTGGAGACAATCAACCAGCAAGGGGCCCTCTGCTTGACACAGAAGGCAGATCAGGTTTTAGCCAAGCCTGCCCAGGCCTCCCTGTTGAAGTAACTTGGCTACAGTTTTTCGTACCATGAGGGAATTTAGCACCAACAAACCAAACCAGAGGACTGAGATTTAATGCTGTCATGCCTTCCCCCATCAACCACCCAACATCGATCCTCCAAGACGCACGTTGCTTGTGAATAGCCAAGTGTTGCTGTGATGCCATAGAAGAGAAGAAAGCTTTGGCACCTCGCATCCAAGCCTATTGACAAGAGCAGAGCAGAACACAAAAACTCTTGGGCACAGAAGGAGCCAACGGGCTTTGCTTCCCGCTTCATTCACTTCTTGTCATAATGGCAGTGCTATCTGCAGATCAAGTGATTTTGTTGGGATATATTTATGTCAAATATAGGATACTTCTCCCGAGATCATCTGAAACCAGGAAAAAAAAAAAAAAGTCTTCCCATCC